TTATTTGGAATAGCTCCAAATAGAACGTGGTAGCTGCATCTAGGAGATGACATAGAGATTTGTAAAGCACACACGGATCTGAAAGGTTCAAACCCGTTGACTATAACCTCTCTCACAAGCATAACATGATCAAACCCAGAACTCTCTGGGTGTTAGTCACATGGGGATGTGACCTTGAGTGTTAATCACATATCGATGTGAACTGGATTATTGACTCTAGTGCAAGTGGGAGACTGTTGGAAATATGCCCAAGAGGCAATAATAAATTAGTTATTATTATATTTCCTTGTTCATGATAATCCTTTATTATCCATGCTAGAATTGTATTGATAGGAAACTCAGATACATGTGTGGATACATAGACAACACCATGTCCCTAGTAAGCCTCTAGTTGACTAGCTCGTTGATCAATAGATGGTTACGGTTTCCTGACCATGGACATTGGATGTCGTTGATAACGGGATCACATCATTGGGAGAATGATGTGATGGACAAGACCCAATCCTAAGCCTAGCACAAGATCATGTAGTTCGTATGCTAAAGCTTTTCTAATGTCAAGTATCATTTCCTTAGACCATGAGATTGTGCAACTCCCGGATACCGTAGGAATACTTTGGGTGTGCCAAACGTCACAACATAACTGGGTGGCTATAAAGGTACACTACAGGTATCTCCGAAAGTGTCTGTTGGGTTGGCACGAATCGAGACTGGGATATGTCACTCCGTGTGACGGAGAGGTATCTCTGGGCCCGCTCGGTAGGACATCATCATAATGTGCACAATGTGATCAAGGAGTTGATCACGGGATGATGTGTTAAGGAATGAGTAAAAGAGACTTGCCGGTAACGAGATTGAACAAGGTATCGGGATACCGACGATCGAATCTCGGGCAAGTACAATACCACTAGATAAAGGGAATTGAATACGGGATTGATTGAATCCTCGACATCGTGGTTCATCCGATGAGATCATCGAGGAGCATGTGGGAGCCAACATGGGTATCCAGATCCCGCTCTTGGTTATTGACAGGAGAGTCATCTCGGTCATGTCTGCATGTCTCCCGAACCCGTAGGGTCTACACACTTAAGGTTCGGTGACGCTAGGGTTATAGAGATATTAGTATGCGGTAACCCGAAAGTTGTTCGGAGTCCCGGATGAGATCTTGGACATCACGAGGAGTTCCGGAATGGTCCGGAGGTAAAGAATTATATATAGGAAGTGCTATTTCGGCTATCGGGACAAGTTTCGGGGTCACCGCTATTGTACCGGGACCACCGAAAGGGTCCCGGGGGTCCACCGAGTGGGGCCACCTGCCCCGGGGGGGGCACATGGGCTGTAGGGGGTGCGCCTTGTCCTGTATGGGCCAAGGGCACCAGCCCCAAGAGGCCCATGCGCCAAGAGATAAGGGAAAGGAAGAGTCCTAAAGGGGGAAGACACCTCCGAGGTGCCCTGGGGAGGATGGACTCCTCCCTGGCCGCACCCTTCCTTGGAGGAAGGGCCAAGGCTGCGCCCCCCCTCTCCCTTGGCCCTATATATAGTGGGGGGAAGGGAGGGCAGCAATACCTAAGCCCTGGCGCCTCCCTCTCCCTCCCATGACACATCTCCCTCCTCCCGCAGCGCTTGGCGAAACCCTGTTGGAATCCCGCTATTTCCACCACCACGCCGTCGTGCTGCTGGATCTCCATCAACCTCTCCTCCCCTCTTGCTGGATTAAGAAGGAGGAGACGTCACTGCTCCGTACGTGTGTTGAACGCGGAGGTGCCGTCCGTTCGGCGCTAGGATCATCGGTGATTTGGATCACGACGAGTACGACTCCATCAACCCCGTTCTCTTGAACGCTTCCGCGCGCGATCTACAAGGGTATGTAGATCCACTCCTCCCTCGTTGCTAGATGACTCCATAGATTGATCTTGGTGACACGTAGGAAAATTTTGAATTATTGCTACGTTCCCCAACACTACTTCCTTCATTTCAAATTACTCGTCGCAAAAATAAATGTATCTAAAACTAAAATATATCTAGATACATCCATACCTACGACAAGTAATTCGGAACGAAGGGAGTATGTTCTATTTCTATCCTTATCAAGTGGGACTCACAGATAGATATGAAGTGTGGGCTGCAGTTTTTAATGGAGAGTTAACGAAAATATGCTCAAACGTACCCGAAACACAAGTTGTCAGACCTGTTTATATTATGGACTGTGCTATAATCCGGTCAACTGGACCCTAGCAACAGATCCGAACGGACTACTACTTTTTATTTTTTGGTGTCGTAAAAAAACATGGTAAAAAAGTTAATACAACTGGAAGTCGAACTCACTACCTCCTGGACCATCATCACTTGTCCTATCCACCTGCCCCAAATTCAAGTTATGGTTATAAAAAATTCGGTAGGTATTTATACTGCTACACACCCAATCAGAAATATTCCGTTTTACCAGTTTCTTCCCTTTGTGTACACGGTAATTTGTCCAGCACAGATCTGATAACTCACAAACACCGTTGTAAAAAAATATTGATGTAACACATCCCCATAACTTATTTGTAAAAACAGCATGATAATTATATGACATGTAACTCACTCACAAACACCATGGTAACTTTCGACCAGAAGAAAAAATGTTGTTGTAACACATTCCGACAACTTATTTGTAGAAAAGACCATGGTAATTTATATGCCATGAATATGATAACTCACACATACACACCGCGGTAACTTTTTTGACCACATGAAAACAAGTTGTTATAACACCCCAAATAACATCTCTATAAAGAACATGGTAATATATACGCCACAAACCTGGTAACCCACTCACAAATACTGCGGTAACTTTCGGTGCAAAGAAGAAAAGTTGTTGTAACACACACCAATAACTTCTCTACAAAAGGGCATCATAATTTATATGCCACGAACCTGATAACTCACACACAACAATGTTATTCACACAAAATTTACCAAGGGATATTTCGACAACCCCTACCCCTCCCCCCTACCAAAGCTATGAGGAACAGAGTACATAAGTTATCAGGTCTGTGATGTGTGAGTTATCATGTTGTTCATATAAAAATTACCAGGGGGATATTCCATCAACCCCACCCCCCTCGGCGCCAAAGTTATCAGGGCCGGGGTACATAAGTTATCAGGTCTACAATGTGTGAGTTACCATGCTATTCAGTATTCACACAAAAGTTACCAGAGTGCATAGGTTGTATACTTTTCATCAATGGTATTTGTACATGAGTTATCAGGTCCGATATGAGTGTACAACCATGTTATTTACACCAAGTTACCCGGGTATATTTTTGAACAATTTTTATCTTCGGGGTGAAAAAGTGTCTGTGGTGTTTGTACATGAGTTATCATCGGTGATGTGCATATATTATCATGCTATTTACAATGAAGTAATCGGGAGTATGTTTTTCAACAACTTTTATCTCGGAGTCAAACTTTACCGCGGTGTTTGTACATGAGTTATCAACTTTTATCCCTTGCCATTTTCCAACCAAAAAAAATCATGGGTCAAAGTTATCGTATTGTTTGTACCTAAGTTATCAGGCCGGGAAGTCTATATTATCATGCTATTTACATAAAAATTATTGAGGATATATTTTTCCCTCATATCAGAGTTACCGCGGTGTTTGGTGTTTAAATGTCAGTTATTAGGCCACGATGCATGGGCTAGTAGTTACTCCCTCCGTTCGAAAATAGATGACCCAACATTGTATTAAATTTATACTAAAGTTAATATAAAGTTGGGTCATCTATTTTGAAACGGAGGGAGTAGACTTTTAATAGAGCAAATGTTCGTCAATGTCTAGGTGTTAGTACAAAACAACAGATTAAAACAAGTTTCAACTTTAACTCACAACAAGAAGTAATAGTATCTGGACTGGTTAGCTTGTTAAACTCACGACAAGATTAAAACAAGTTTCAACTTTAACTCACAACAAGAAGTAATAGTAGATGGTCATAGTTCGATTATTGGCACAAGTACTTTTTGACACTATTTTCTACTTAAAAAGTCAACCTGAAATCGCACTAAAACCTTCCTAGAATGCTCATGGGATCATGATCCGGAAATCACGCCACCTATTTCCTTTCCTACTAATAAAACACTCTAAAATCGAGCCCCAAAAATACTTTCTAAAATTACTGCCGCAATAAGATCCGACAATTATGTCAAACAAATCGCGCCAGAGATCGTGATCGAGAAAAATACGCCCGCACGATCAATCCGGTCCAAAAAAAAAAACACCCTGAAATCACGGCCGCAAGATCTGAAACGAACGACATCCGACGTGTGTGGATCTGTTGCAAAATTACTGCCGTCTGGTAAATAGCTTTTCCGTTATATTATTTTTAAGTTTATGTATGAATCGGTACATTGAGTGCAAGTTCATGTTTTTTTAAATGGTAACTGCAAGTTCATGTACCAAAAATGTATTTAACTCTTTCCTTAAACATGCTTCGAATTACCTGGTCCGTTTAAATTGACAAAGCCCTACCAATCCATCAGCCCAATCAAAGTAAGCAACATTGCCTAAAAAAACAGACTAAACAACAAACGACATTTACTATTCGGCGCTTTATTACACCGACTTCTTTATTTTCTTCTTTTTTTCTTGGAACGGTTCTGTTTAGCATTTTATTATTTTCCTTTTTATGAACTTTTTTAAATTCATAAAACTTTTCAAATATGATGATTTTTTCAAATCAATGAACCTTTTTTTTTCAAATTCATGATTTTTTCGTTTTTTTTCAAATACGATCGAACGAACCAGAGCGAATTCAGGATCTACACGGGCCAGCCCACGAGTGTTGGCATGGTGGCGGCAGGGCGCCGAATAGGAGTTCCCACAGCAAACCCCCCAAAAAAAGACCAGGCCGAGCCAGCGGCCACCGGAAATCCCGGACTAGCCTCAACATTCAGAAATCATCATCAGCACAAGAGGATAAGATAGGAAGAAACAGGCAAGGAAGCCAACAAGTCGTCAGCCATGGCGCTCTCCCTCTCCACCTCCTTCCTCCCGACCCCAGGCGCCGCCGCCGTCGCGAGAACCGCAAACCGCACCCTCCGCTCCCTCGTCCCCTCCCAGGTACTGAACTCACTTCCATACTTAAACTTCATAAGGCTCTGAATTGGGGGAGACATTTGTCAATCCTTAACTTGTGCGCTGTGCGCGCGTGCAGGGGATGAGGTGCTCGATGCGGAAGAAGGGGCTGCACCCGGAGATCTTCGAGGACGCCAAGGTGTACTGCAACGGTGAGCTGGTGCTGGTGACGGGGGGCACGAAGCCGGAGTACTCGGTGGACGTCTGGTCGGGGAACCACCCCTACTACGTCGGCGACTCCTCGGCGCTGGTCGTCATGGACAGCCAGATCGAGAAGTTCCGCAAGAAGTGGGGGCACGTCAAGGAGTACTGGACCAAGGAGCAGTGGCTGGAGATGCACCCTGACGGCGACCCGGAGTTTGAGCCGGAGGACGACGAGACCCGCAAATGATGTGGCTCTGCCTCTCCTGCTCCTCGTCTTCCTGCTGCGTTTCTCTCGTTGTTAACTCCCGAACTCAATTATGCTAGTTTGCGTGGCTTGATTCCCCAGCTGTACTGTCTGCACGTTGATTGATTTGGTTCACGGGGATTGCATTTGCATTGCCCTCGAGGTGTTCGGGTAATGTTCGCAACGACTCTAGCAATACTACCTTCCAGTATGTGTCAACGTTGAGTTTCATGAAATCGGTGCTCTAAAAAGCTTGATTTTTATGCAACCAAATTTTCCTAGACCACCACAAGTGTATTATCTTCATAAAAAATTGCTCACAGCTAGAATACACAGATATGTTCATTGTAGAACTTTAACTTATTTTTTCATTCAATTTTATTATTCATGCCAGAGCATATGGGCAAGTTTCGTTTTGAATTTCCATTCTGAAATTACCCTGGAGGCCAGAGCATATGTAAATGACACCATGAACATTGGTTGAGGGGTCAAAATTTGAAATCATCAACCTCAAATTCCTTCTACTCTGCTTTGATGCATGTTAGGGTTCAATCCCGTGGGATGTACTTAACAGGTGCATTAGCCTAGACTTTAGATCACCTAATCATGATGAACAACGAGATGGAATAAGGTCTTACCACCAATGAAGGAGCCATTGGTGTAGGCGATGTGAAGTCTCGTGCCTGCTTGATGCAGGCTCGGTGTAGATGCTTGCAGCAGGTAGCGGCATCCCTCCGGGTGCTAGCGGCACTGCCCTGGCATCGGAGCAGAGGTAGGAGAAGGTCTTCCTATCACACAACGCTCCCCTAGATCGGATTAGGGTTTTGTGATTTAGGAGGGCAAAGTAGACGCACGTGAACAGGTCAGATCGTGCGTGTCATGTTGCCCCCCTCTTTATATGTGGCGCTAGCGATCAGATGACCTAAACCACCCCGATCAGGGTGTGTTTGTTAGTGTCAAGGGGGTACGAACGTTGCTTCATGACCTTCTTCCCTTAACATAACTTATCTTTGACTTGTCCCTTTGGCCCATTGGGCCTTAGATCAATATTAACATTCTCCCCCTTGATTGTTAGGCTCAATAACTTATGCCCATTCTCCATAGGAATGACATACTAGAGTAAGGTGTTACGACAACCGATGAAAGGCCATTGGACCTCAATAATCATAGTACACATCTTATTTTGAATTTGCAAATGTTTTACTTAATGGGAGTGGTTTATATTAGTGGTCCCATAATTCTAGGATCAAAAGGCTTCCATTAAACCCATGCCGACTATGTGCTCACGAAAAATATTGGGTGGTAAGCCTTTAGGGAGCGGATCTGCAAGCATATGTGTCGTACTGACATGCTTAACATTAATAGTGCGATCCTGGATTCTATGTTGAATAACATGATACTTTAGGTCAATGTGCTTGGCAGAACACTTGACTTGCTATTCGCATAGAAAACAGTGGGTTCATTATCGCAGTACAATGTCAGTGGTTTGAAAATGTTGTCTACCACTTTATGTCTAGGAAGGAAATTCTTTAGCCATAAATGCCCATTGGCCTCAAAATATGCTATATATTCTGCCTGCATTCTAGATGAGGCAACTAACGTTTGCTTGGAGCTTTTCCATGAGATGGTTCCTCCAGCGAGTGTGAATATATAACCTGACATGGATTTCTTACTATCCACACACCTGGCAAGATCAGAGTCAGAGTAACCAATAACTTCCAAGTTATCAAACTTTCTATATGTAAGCATGAAATTTTTAGTACCTGCATATAATGCAAGACTTTCTTTGCGGCCTTCCAATGGTCTGGTCCTGGAATAGATTGACATCTGCCAAGCATCCCGGTTACGAAAGCCAAGTCAGGGTGTGTACATTCTTGAGCATCATGATGCTTCTGACAGCTGAAGCATAAGGAGCCGACTTCATCTGATCAGTTTCGTTTTGGTTCCTTGGACATTGAAATGTCCCAAACCTATCACCCTTGACTATGGGGGCATGTGAGGAAGAACACTTATGCATATTGTATTTCTTTAGCACTCTCTCAAAGTATGCCTTTTGCGATAGTCCTAATGTACCTTTGGACCTACCTCGATGGATCCCAATGCCAAGGACATACGAGGCTTCACTCAGATCCTTCATGTCAAAATTCGAGGACAGAAATCTCTTGGTCTCATGCAGTATATCTTTATCGCCGCAAGCCAATAGAATATCATCCCCATATAGGACTAAATTCTGAACATACTGTCTTTAAATTTGACATATACACAATTGTTCATTTCATTTTCTTTAAACCAAAAGTTCTAATAATATTGTCGAACTTGAGGTACCACTGCCTTGAAGCTTTCCTAAAGCCATATATGGATTTCTTTAAACGACATGCCATATGTTCCTTTCCTTCCACGACAAAACCTTCAAGTTGAGTCATGTAAACTTCTTCGTTCAAGTCACCATTCAAAAATGTCATCTTGGCATCCATTTAACAGAGCTCTAAATCGTAATGAACTACAAGTGCCATGACAATTCTGAAAGAATCTTTGGTTGACACAGGTGAGAAGGTCTCCTTATAATCGATCCCTTCTCTTTGTGTAAAACCTTTTGCTACAAGTCTCACTTTGAAACTTTCGATGTTCCCTTTGGAATCATATTTGGTTTTGTAGACCCATTTGCAGCCTACCCTTTTGGCTCCATTAGGAATTTCTACTAAGTCCCAAATATCATTCGAGCTCATAGATTTCAATTCGTCTTCCATGGCGACCAACCATTTGGGTGAGTATTCAGTTTTAGTGGCTTTCTTATATGATGTCGGATCTTGTACCTTCCCTATGTCATTTTTGTCCTCAAACATGAAAGTGAAAAAATCGCTCGGGATGGCCCTTTTCCTTTCCCGCTATGATCTTCTCACAGGCTCATTAGTTTGAACATTTCTTATTGCGTGGGAAAGGCGAGGGTTAACATTGGGTTGAGGATCATCATTAGGCCGATGATCCTCATCATACTGAGGACCTTCATTATGTTGAGGCTCCTCGTTGGACCAAGGATCCACTTCAGGTTCAGGATCACCAGTAGGTGTCTCGTACACATTAGGCATAGGGATAAAGTTCTCTTGGATGGTCTGGGATGGAACATATACTCGCTTCTCCTCGAGATTAATTGCCTTAACCTCAGTGACTTCATTATCCTCAAAAAACACCGCTTGCCTGGTTCCGACAAACTTGGTGGTATGACCTGGGCAATAAAAGCAGTATCCTTTTCCTCTATGAGGGTACCCAATGAAAAAACAACTAACTGTCTTTTGGTCCAACTTATTAATATGTGGATTGAATACTTTAGCTTCAGCTGGGAAGCCCCCCAAAAACAAGTAATTCAAGCTTGGTTTCTTTCCCGCCCACATCTCGTAAGGTGTGCTTGGTGCTGACTTAGTTGGAGCAAGATGCAGGATGTGTGCAACAATTTTCATTGCCTCCATCCAAAGACTTACTGGTAAGCTTACATGACTAAGCATGATAGATACCATATCCACAAGAGTACGGTTGCGATGCTTAGCTAAGCCATTTTGCGGAGGTTCACTGGGAATTGAATATTGGCCAATAATTCAATTTTAGCAAGATATTTCGCGAATGGTCCTGGAATTGCCCATAAGGAGCATGCCTGCCATAGTATTCTCCCCGCGATCAGACCGTCCTACTTTGATCTTTAGGTTGAGTTGATTTTCAACCTCGGCTTTATAAATCTTAAATTTTTCCAAAGCTTCGGATCAATCATGTATAGGGTAAATGTGGCCATAGCGAGAGAACTCATCCATGAAGGCAATGAATAAATCAAAACTATCCATAGACTTTACATTAAAAGGTTTGCATATGTCAGTATGATTAAGTTCAAGGCCCCTTTGTGGTTCTTACTGCTCCTTTCTTAATTGTTTCCACATATTTTCCCTTAATACAGTCTATACAATTGCCTGCATCAGAGAAATCTAGCGGATGATGCATGACTACTTTAATCAATCGTTCCATCCCACCCCTCGAAATGTGGCCCAAGCGACGATGCCACAATTTTGAAGAAGGATTGCTACTTCTCCCATTTTGTCATGATTGTGTTCATTCATATTCAACTCGCAGAGATTCACACACATAGGATAATCGGATAGATTTAACATATAGAGTTTGCCTCGTCGGACAGAGAGGCCAACATCCTTATTACAGTGCTTAAAAAACATTGTTTCTCCCCTAAGGTACAATGAAAATCAAAATCATCTAAACATGAAACTGAAATCAAGTTCCTACTCAATGTAGACACATAAAGAACGTCCTTGAGCTAAAGTAGGAAGGCAGTGTGCAACTTCAAGGTGAGGGAGCCCACGACTTCAACTTCAGCCTCCTTCCCATTCACGACATTAATCCTTCTTGTACCCCTTCTTAGGGTATGGCTTATATAGAATCCCTACAAAGAATTCGCGCCATGAACAGTCTCACCTGAGTCAATCACCATGTAGATTCGGAAAAATTAACATACAGAGGTTCATCTACAAGACTGATCTCATCCTTACAATTTTTATCCAGTCACTTAAGAAAACTTGGAAAGTCCGCCTTGATATGATTTGGTTGTTTGCAGAAGTTGCAAATTCATTCTCCAGCGACATTTGTAAGATTGACTAGAGTAGCCACCGGAGGAGCGAGACGTGAACAACTTGCCTCATTGCATTGCTTACGCTTTGGAGGTTTCTTTTTAAAAAACCACTTTTTGTTGGGCACATTATTGCTATGAGGATTGATCTCATGCTTCCTCTTTGTAGAGTTAACATGAAAAGCTTGATCTTTCTGTTCACCTTTTATTCTCTCTTCCTCCTGAACACAATATGCAATGAGTTCAGGTAGTGTCCATTTAGTTTGAAGAGAATTATAGTTTATCTTGAATGGATTTAATTGTGAGGGTAGTGGCTTAAAAACTAAGAGCACAAGCAGCTCTTCGTTCATGTCACACTTCATGGTTTTGAGCATTGTCGCAACAT